AGTCCCCGTGCTCCCTTCTGTTCTCACTCCCATTTACTCCCCCACGCTCCTCCGCTTGCTCTCCCCCACTGCCGTCAATCGCATTCACCCGCTCTTCCAGAGAACTGCTACCACTCCCCTCCTCGTCCTCCTCTTTCCGCTCCTCCTCCTGTTTCCCCGCGCGCCCCTCTTTCCCGCCATCCGCTTGTGTCCCCTCCGCCTTATCAATCCCGCCAGGAATCGGAACGGAACTATCCCCTCCAACTCCCTCCACGTGCCTGCCTTCGGTCCTTCCTCTCCCGGATTTTCCGGGCCTTTCGTCCTCGGAATTCGCAGCTAGCCATCTCTTTTTTATCTCAGCCGTTGGTTCTGTAAGCCGATCCCCGCCGTAGCTGATGTGAACCTCGTTTTGCGCGCTTTCCGGCCCAGATTCTGTATCGGTCACTTTATTCTTATCCTCAGACCCTTGTTGGATTTCGCCGTCTACAGTCAGGTGTGAAAGCTTCGCGATAGAGTTATCCGGTTCGTGGAGTTTCGTATGCCCGAGCAGATGAAAAAGGAAGGCTGCGAAGAAAATCGCAGACCATGTGACTATATTGAGATTGTTACCACACAGACTCGAAATCCACCCTCGATGCTGATGTCTCGTCTTGCTGTGCGAACTCGGGTGAACGTGCGAAAGCGTGTGCGAACGAGTCTGGGGAGGACTTTGCGACAGACTGTGCGAGTGAGCGCCTGGGGGTGAGCGAAGGTGAGTGCATGGGAGGGATTGTGACTGTAGGCGAGTGGGACGCTCTTGCCGGATCTTTGCCGGGTCCTTCACCACCATGGCGGGACCCATGTGATTATATCGAGCGACGCACTTGATCCGAGGACGATAACGTGGCCCGGAGGAATAATAAATAATGTCGCACTAAGTTGTCAGTCAAAATAAATAACACGCTAACGTACAGCTCGTAAGACGGATGCCGGCCAGCTGGCAGGATGTGGTGATCCTAGACAGCTGCGAGGCGATCCGTTCCATTTATTTCCAAAGATGCTGCTCACGGAATCACGTTTCAGCAGCAATGCCGGAAAGGAAAGCAAGCTAGGAGATTTGCCTCATGCTGCCGACCTTGATATTCTGGAATCGCCATTGCCAGTAGGGACTGACTGGGAAGGCTCGCTCGCCATGATTCGTGAATCGACGGCACTTAGCCCTGGCAAAGACCAGCATTTTCCAGGTTTGGGTCTGGTTCGGGCTGCCTGCTGGTTTGGACTCAGCTGGGAGATTCCCAAGGTTTGTCTGGCCTGGGCACGTCCTTCGGCTCAGCACAAATTCTCTTCGTTCGGTTCGGCTGAGCCATTGAAGGGAAGAATTTGACTGGTGATTTGGCCCTGACGGGGATTTGGTTTGGTCCAGGGAAGTCGAGTTTGGCGGATCGAAGCCGAATTCGTCGGCATGGATCTCGGTATGGTAACACTCGCACAGACATGGGATGGTGTGATTCATGGAGCATTACGTGACGCTGTCACCACCACTCACGACAGTCGCACGCTTGTTTGGCGAAAAGTGCGGGAGGTGAACCCAGTACGACGCGGTTCGCAACTGGGGAATATGTGCTTCTCGAGTTTTGGGGAATACACCTAGTCCGCGGTATTTTAACCAGGTGAACTTTGTTCTTTCAAACCCCCTTTGTTCGTTTCTGGGTAATGATATTAGCACCCAGAGTCATCGAGGCTACGATTCTGCAGCCGAAAGCACTTCCATCTAAGGAACTCACACTTAGTGCTCCAAGATAGACGGAGTGACATTTGTCATACTCGACATTCACTGAGTTTTTTCTGCCGTCATCTCGCGAAGGGAATGCTAGATTCTACCCTCTTAAAGTTTGAAACAACCTGACTAAATAAGTTTGATAAAGGAGAAGTACCCTCGCGTGGTTAAGATAGCGGCGGTTAAAATACCGCGGACTAGGTGTAAGCGGATGGTCACTAACAAAGACATCGATGATATGGAGGGGGGAATGGGGTGTGGGATGGGATGTCTTGATGGGGTGTCTTGACTAGCGTTTTGATTGGGTATCTTGAGGGGGGGTTTTATGTGTGTTGCATTTGGGTTCTTTTTGGCAGCTTCACTTTCCTTCTCCCTTTCTTTCTTCATTTCCTTTCTCTTTCATTTATGTCTTTCTTTCCCTTATTTTCAAACCAAGACATCGATGATATGTACGATACAGTCAACGGAAAATCGTGGATACAAGTAAAATGAAATATTTCTATTTTTTTTTCGGATATGTCACAACTTCATTTATTTTTGGTGTTTGATTACCTCCTGTCCATGTAATAAATAAAACATACAGTATGTATGTTATGGTAAATACATCAAGAAGGTGGATTACTCACCTTCCGCAACAAAGCGCCAGTGTGCATTTAAATCAAGGATTCCTGCTAAGGCGCATATTCTCTCGTCATGTGATGACACGTCGATACCTTATCAGTAAGCACACTACGTGTAATCTCAGGAAGCAGCGATGGGTAGGGAGAGTGCTGCTCGGTATTTCTGGCCGTCGATGAGAAATCGGGAGGTGGTGATTGCTGCCCGCTGCCGTGGCGACCATTTGTGTAGAGCCCCTATCACCGCCAATAAGCTGGCGTCAACAACCCGAATCGCTATGGCGACCGCCGTCCTCCCGAAACGCCTTCAAGAATACTGCTAAGATGTCAAAAAATTTGGACTACCCCTTGGTCCAGATCGTTAACGAATCGAGGTATGGCAAGCATCTGCCCGGGCGAATCAGTGCAGCTCACTAGAAGCTGGGCAGGGCACCCTTGTGAACACATCTTTTCCTTTGAAATCGGGCACGGGATGGGTACACAAGGGAGCTGTGATTTTCGGCTGCCCGCCGCAGCCGTGCAAACCTCCTCCCAGACCGCGATGCTCTTCCATCAAGCGACCCGAAACTCCACCTCACCACCGCAGAACGACTCACCAAGAAGGGAATCCCGAGGATAAATTTCGACGAATTCAAGTCATTGCCATTCCATCTCACACTTGAGTTGAGTCGTTGTGAGTGGTCCTTTCTTGGGACTCTGCTGGCGAGTTTCTTCTTCATCATGGCTCCGATGAAGCTTCTCGGAGCGCTTTTCGTCGCCAGCTCTGTGATGCTCGTCGCCTTGCTCACGCCCTCCGCTTATGCTGATTCCAGCGCCGTCGTCAGTGCTGGTAAGCTCTGTTTTCCACCGCGAAATTCTGTTGTTAATTGAAATGCGCATTCATAAGAACCATGTTTGTTCAGAATGTGTACATTTTGCTTCTAACTATCCAGAATTCTATGTTGACTGACGAATCGCCTAATGCCTGACTGTATGCAGGTAAATTGACTGTCGGAGCCAGGCGATTTCTGGACGACGATCATCACGACCACCATGATGACGACCATCACGACCATCATGATGACCACCATGACGATCACCATCATGACGACGACGATCACCACGAGAAGCCTAAGCCAAAGCCCAAGCCGTCGCCTAAGCCGCAGCGAAAGCCGAAGCCGCAGCTCACGTGCATGCAGAAATTCCAGCTCAAGCACAAGTCATGCGCGGAGAAGAAGCACGAGTGCATGGAGAAAGCATCGGGTTCCTCCTCCGGCATGGCGACGTGCGAGGCGCAGGCCAAGACGTGCGGACGCAAGGCGTACCGGTCGTTTAAGAACTGCAAGTACGGCAAGTGGGGGTGCAAGGACTGGTGCCTTTACCACCGGCGGCAGTGCTATAAGGCGCACGGGGTGGGGTGCGAGGCGAAGTACGGGGCGTGCGTGAAGGCGTGTACGAAGCCCAAGAAGGAGAAGGACCATGACGACGATGATCATCATGACGATCACCACCATGATGATGATCACCATGATGACCATCATGACCACCACGATGATCATCATCATGACGACGATCACCACGACCACCATGACGACGACCACCACGATGAGTAAATTGTCACAACATCTTGACTACGGGCGTGTGTCCGAGTCCTTGGTAGTGCGATCAAAGCTTTAGCTGACTGAAGGTTGGTAGAAGCTTTTAATCACACAGCGCTGTGGTGTGCTGAGCTGAGTTGTTGCTAAGTGCTGGTTTGTTGTGGGGTGAGTGGGGTATAGAGGGGAGTGTGTATGTGGTGGAGGGAGTAGCCAGAGGGGAATAAATTTGTAATGTATGTGTGACCAGTGCAAATACAGCAAACTTCGGGAGTATCGTGGCAGTGAGAGGGCTAACAGGAGGGGCAAAACATAACTTCTGCACAAGACACCTCCCTTGAGTGCAGCCAGCCATACACTGAGAACAGAACAGAAAACCTAAGGCTGCTGACCTTCCTTGCCCATTCCTCAATAATGTACCCTTGCAACTCCCTTGTTCACATAGACATACGAGCTAGATTTGAATGTACACTTTTGATTACATACTCAAAGTCATTGCAAAATGGTGTCAAGTTGAGAGGGCTGCCTCATTTGTACCACCCTTGCAAGACAAGGCGAGCACAGAAGCAGAGGAGAGCAGAGAGAACCTGCATGGGGCGAAAGGAAAGGGAATTGAAGAGGGTGTGGAATGGGAGGGAGGGAGAAAGGGGGAGGGAAGGCCATAGGAGTGTGTAATGTGAAGCAGAGAAGAGCAAAGAGCAGTTGGAAGGGAGGGGGGAAATCAAAGAATGGAGAATGAATGGAGAGCAGGGGGCAAGAGGTGAGCGTGGGGAGGGAGAAATGTGGGTGTGATGCACAAGGCTGCAGGCGGGATTTGTGTGGGATACGCGAGGAATCTGAATCAGTTTTGGGACGTCTCAAAACAATTTTATATTCAGAAGGGAAGGCAAAGTGGGAATGTATTGTGAAGCAAAACAGGTGCAGAGGGGATCTCTGTGGGACATGCAAGGAATCTAAACCATCAATGGATGAGGATGAGCAGCAGGCGGATGCAGAGCTGCTCCTCAATGCACGGGCTGAAGAGGCTTGAGGCAGCAAGGAGGTGTATACATGTGAACATACATGCACTGTGCCTCACACACTGCAATGCACCTGGAAGAGCAGCAGGCGGATGCAGAGCTGCTCCTCGGTGCACGGGCCGAAGAGGCTAGGCAGCGTGACAGAAACACTAGCTACAGCTGCCAACGGGACAATTGGAAGAGCAGGGGGCACCTGGAAGAGAAGCAGGCGGATGCAGAGCTGCTCCTCGGTGCACGGGCCGAAGACGCGCAGGAAGAGGTTGACGAGGTTGAGGTCGTTGCTGCCCGTCAGACGGTGTGTAGCTGGGTCGAACCTGGTGTGGTGAGGGAGGGAGTACGAGAGGCAAATGAGAGCACAGGTTCAGGATTGAAGGAGGGCAAAGAGGCGCAGGAAGAGGTTCACCAAGTTGAGGTCGTTGCTGCCTGTCAGACGGTGTGTAGCTGGGTCGAACCTGGTGGGGGGAACAGAGTACGTGGAGAGGAAAAGATGTGTAAGAGGAAAAAAGGGGGAGGGTGAGGTGTGACGAGGTTCACCAGGTTGAGATCGTTGCTGCTCGTCAGGCGATGGGTGGCCGGGTCGAACTTGGTGTGGTGTGAGAGAGGGCGTGGGCAGAGAGGGGAAGGGAGGGGGAGAGAGAGAGAGTGATTCGTTTGAGAGAGGGTGGGAGGAGGTTGACCAGATTCGGATCGTTGCTGCCTACGCCAGACTGACCAGACTGTGTGTGGCCAGGTCGAACCTGGTGGGGGGAAGGGCGTAGGCAGAGAGGAAAGGGGCTGAGAGAAAGGGGGGAACGGAGAGGAGTGGGGAGGTGGAAGGGGGGGAGGGGGGGGGTGGGGGGGGTGGTGAGGGGAGAAGGTTGACTGGGTTGAGGTCATTGCTGCCTGTCAGGTGGTGTGTGGCCGAATAGAGGCGCATGTTATTGCACGAGCAGTTTTGAGACGTCTCAAAACAGCTCTGTTTACACGTGTGTGGCGGAATAGAGGCGCATGTCATTGCACGAGCAGAGGCTTGGGTACTACTCACTTGGCAGGCAGGGAAAATCTTGGGCGCGGCACAATATTGAGTAGCTGAGACAAGGGGCAAGGGGCGAGGGGCGAGGGGGGCGAAAGGGGAGAAGGGAATGTAGATGAGACCACAAGGATCATGGCTATTACAGGGACGAGAGGGGGGCTCCTTCTCATCTCATGATTAGATTGTTAGCGATTCTTTAGATTTCTAACAGGAAACTATTACAGGGACGAGAGGGGAACTTCTATGAGATGAGACAACAAGGACATCACATCAGAGTGACTTTATCTGGAATTTCACTTGGAAAGAAGATGACGCACCTGGGGAACGGAGTAGATGGCATGGCATGGCATGGCATGGCATGGCATGGCATGGCATGGCATGGCATGGCATGACATGGCATGGCATGGCATTGATAATTTGAGGTGCCTCAAAAGCCACATGCATTGACACGAGATTTTAGGCTTGTACAAATCTGGCGCACATGGGGAGGAATGGATAGCATGGCATTGATGACCCGAGGGAGCAATAGCCTCGAAAATCGACTCGATAGCAGTAGCAGTAGCAAAAGCAGACTTGATATATGAGGCGCCTCGAAAATCATCTCAATACACGCGGCTTTTGAGGAGCCAAAACAACAATTATGCACCTAGGGAACGGATTAGATGGCATTGATAACCTGCTTGAGATGGGTTTTGGTTTGGAGCACCTCGAGAATTGACGCACCTGGGGAACGAAGTAAACTGCATTGATAACCTGAGGGAGCATCAGCAGCAGCAGAGTCTCACTGGAGGAAGGGAAGGGGGAAGATTTTGTTTTTCGCCTTTTAGAATCGATAACCCGAAGGAGGAATTGCAGCAGCAGAGTTTCAATGGAGGGAGGGAAAGGGAGAAGAACGGCAGGTAGGGATGAGTGTGTTGGGGAGAGGCGAGGAGATTAGGTTGGTTGCACATAATGTAGGAAGAACAGAGGAGATTGATGGACAGATAAAGACAGCGCGATGGCTTGAAGCGTTGATATGGAAAGTTGCATATTCTGATAAGCATTGGTTACTGCTAAACACTAGCAACTGATAAGCACAAGCTACTGAAGTGGAGCAGTCACCTGAAGTGTCCCAAAATGCCGACCACTGCCAGTGTAATTCCAGCAAAGTAGGTGAATGTGTCACCCACAAAGACCTGCGAGGGGTACCTGGGAGGGGAGAGGGGAGAGGGGGGAAGTTGAGAGCGAAGGGAGAAGGCGCGTGTCATTTCAACGAATAGAGTGAATGTGTCACCCACAAAGACCTGCGAGGGGTACCTGGGAGGGAAAAGGGGTGAGCCTTCCAAGCTGATTGGACGCACAACGTATCAACTGGAATCTCAAGCACGTGAATGTGTCGTCCACAACACAACGTACCAGTTAAAGACAAGCAGGGCGAGCGTGCAGGCAAGAAGCGGCAGGATGAGGTAGATGGAGAAGAGGTGGGCCTGCTGCATGTCCGGCTGCAGTGGCAACTTAAAGCCCGGCAGCTCGCCAATTTGCCATATGTTGAACAGCAGTACCTGAGGCAGTGAGAGTGAGGAGAGGGCAGGAAGGAGGGGAGAGGAGAGGTGGAGTAAAGGAGAGTAAGGGAGAGTAAAGGACGGAGAGAGAACGTTCATGGAGTTGGGGCAGAAGACAAGGAAGATGCCCAGATACACCTTGTACAGCATGCCAAAATCCCACACCCAGCAACACTATGCTTGTTCTCCGTCATTGTCCCCCCCACAGCAAGTGTTGACTGAGGCACGGAAGAAGGTGGAGCAACTGACAAGTCAGTTGTCTGTTGCTACCACCCAGACTTGAGGCGCTAAGGCAAATTGTGAGGCGATTCAAGGGGATTCGATTGAGCACAAGGAGACAGCTGTCGCCAACATTGCTGCTGCTGTTGACAACAAACGTCTCTTGCAGGTGAGTGTTCTCCTGCTGCCTCTCGTTTCTTCTCCTTGACCCTTGCACCCCCACCACCCCCAAAAGCCACTTACCTCTTGCACCGTTTCTTTTCTCTACCTCCTCCATTTTTTTCCATCGCTCTGTCCTCCCGTTTTATCCACCTTAGCTTTGTTGCGCCATAGTTTCTTCTCAGGGAGAGCCCACGTGCTACGTGAGAGAGGGAGGGAGAGCACCCTGGAATGGGACACCGTCCGCTGCCCTCTCTCGGCTCTCTGTGTGCGAGTCAGCCCTCTCTACCAGCTTCCTTTGCTGCTTAAGCACCATCGGGAGTCTTACCCTGACCGATAGACTCCATGGTGCTCCAGCAGCAGAGGACGCGGGTAGAAGGAGTTGACTCGCACATAGAGAACCGAGAGAGGGCAGCAGACAGTGTTCCGTTCCAAGGTGCTCTCCCTCTCTTCGTCTCTCACGTAGCACGTGTGACTCTCCCTGAGAAGAAACTATGGCTCAACAAAAAAATGGTGGATAAAACGGGAGGAGAGAGCGATTGAAAGAAGTGGAGGAGGTAGAGAAAAGAAACGGTGCAAAATGTAAGTGGCTTTTGTGGGTGGTGGGGGTGCAGTGGACAAGGAGAAGAAAACGAGGCAGCAGGAGAACACTCACCCGCAAAAGACGTCCGTTGTCAACAGCAGCAGCAATGTCGGCGGCAACTGTCTCCTTGTGCTCAATCAGAGCCACTTGAAGCGCCTCACAATTTGTCTTTAGCGCTTTAGTCTGGGTAGTAGCAACAGACAACTGACCAGTCAGTTGCTCCACCTCCTTCCGTGCCTAATCCAACACTTGCTATAAGAGGGACGATGAACGAAAAGAAGCACAGCAGCACCTCCTGCTCTTGCAACTGGTAGAAAGCACCTCTCTCTATCTTTCTCTCTGTTTGTTTCTCGCTCTTCTTCACTTTCTTTGGCCCTTTCTCTTTCTCTGGCTCTTTCTGTATTTGCCTGTCTCTTTGTCCTCCTCAACCTCTCTCTCCTTCACTTTCTCTGTCTTACCGCAGCAGCGATCACAGCGGTCTGCCCGACCTCCAGCCCGTTGATCCCACCAAGGATGTTGATGAAGTTGGTGGTGCAGAACACCACTAGCACATACACCTTGTAAAGCACGCCCAGGTGTATGCATGCATGCATGCATGCCTTGGAAAGAGTTTCAAACCCACACTTACCGCAGCGGCGATCACAGCAGTCTGCCCGGCCTCCAACCCGTTGATTCCAGCAAGGATGTTGATGGAGTTGGTGCAGAACACCACGAGAACCACCAGGCACACCTTGTACAGCACGCCAAGGTCCCACGTTGCTGCCTCCCCCCCTGACCCTGCTGCCTCCCCCCCTGACCAAGCCAGCCCTGCCAGCAGCGGCCGCAGCGGCTTGGGAATGACAATGGTGGTGTGGCCGGAACAAGGTTCAAAATTACGGTTTTCGTAAAATACGGTCCGTTTTATACGGTCGTTTTTTACGGTGATTTTTCAAAAAAACGGTCGTTTTTTTGTTAGAGAACTCTGTTCACCAAGAAAAAAAAGAGAAAAACAAGGCCAAAAACATTTTCAATCATGCCAACAAGCGCATACATGCAAGAAGGGATCCGTCCCCTTCATGCTGCTGCATTTCGGGTTCAATTTGGTCCCACTAAGTGGCCGTTTTGTTAGTTAAACAGGAAACACCTCCTGGAACCGTTTTAAACCGTTTTTTACGACCGTATTTTACGATACCGTTTTTTACGGTAAATTTTCAAAAAAACGGTCGTTTTTTTTAACCTTGGGCCGGAATAGGCCATCAGGAGAGGCAGTGCGGCTATGGCGGGAAATATGATTTTGCTGTGGAGGAGAAGGGGAGGGGGGAGCCGGGGCCAGGGGGGAAAGAGGGGGAGGGGGTGACGGGGAGAGGGGGGAGGAATCAAGGGGCTTGAGAATGGCGATGGTGGTGTGGACTGAATAGGCCATTAGGAGAGGCAGGGAGGCTATGATTTGCTGGTGGGATGGCGATGGTGGTGTGTGTGGCCTATATAGGCCACGACGAGAGGGAGTGGGGAAAGGCAGGGATGCTATGGGGGGGGAAATGAGCGTCTCAAAAGCCCTACTCGAGTGCCAATACCCCAGCGCCCAGCCCACTGGCCAGCACTCACCCACAGGCGTTTGTGCGTTTCAGGCACACTGTTTATGACGCCCTGCAGCACCATGCAGCAGATGCTGCGTTTGAGGTGCCTCAGCTCAGAACATACCCCAGCGCCCATCCCACCACCCACTCACACGCATTTGGGCGTTTCGAGACCGTCGTCCATGAAGCCCTGCAGCACCATGCAGCCTTTGCATGCTAAAAGATCCGGCTTTATCTATCCGCCTCACACTCACACACGGCTGGGTGTCTCGAGCATGTCGTCCATGAAGCACCATGCAGCCGATGCAGGCTAGAGGCGCCTCAAGACTGTCCCAGCGCCCAGCCCATCCCAGCACCCACTCACACGCGGCTGGGTGTCTCTAGTACATCATCTATGAAGCCCAGCAGCACCATGCAGCTTATGCACGCAAAGAAATCCGGCTTTATCTATCCGCCTCACACTCACACACGGCTGGGTGTCTCGAGCACGTCGTCTATAAAGCCCTGCAGCACCATGCAGCCGATGCAGGCCAAGGCCGCATTGTACTGCACGAGCCACTGGAGAGGGGGGGAGAGGGGGAGCAGGGAGAGCAGAGGAGGGGCGGGGGGGGAGGGAGGGAGCAGGGAGAGCAGAGGAAGGGGAGGGGGGTGAGGGAGGGAGCAGGGAGAGCAGAGGAAGGGGAGGGGGGTGAGGGAGGGAGCAGGGAGAGCAGAGGAAGAGGAGGGGAGGGAGGGAGGGAGCAGGTGAAGAAGAGGAGGAGGGGGAGGGGGAAGGGAGCAGAGGAAGAAGAGGAGGAGGGGGAGGGGAAAGGGAGCAGGGGAAGAAGAGGAGGAGGGGGAGGGGGAAGGGAGCAGGGGAAGAAGAGGAGGAGGGGGAGGGGGAAGGGAGCAGGGGAAGAAGAGGAGGAGGGGGAGGGGGAAGGGAGCAGGGGAAGAAGAGGAGGAGGGGGAGGGGGAAGGGAGCAGGGGAAGAAGAGGAGGAGGGGGAGGGGGAAGGGAGCAGGGGAAGAAGAGGAGGAGGGGGAGGGGGAAGGGAGCAGGGGAAGAAGAGGAGGAGGGGGAGGGGGAAGGGGGCAGGGTAAGAAGAGGAGGAGGGGGAGGGGGAAGGGAGCAGGGGAAGAAAAGGAGGAGGGGGAGGGGGAAGGGAGCAGGGTAATGAAGCCCTGCAGCACCATGCAGCCCTGCGATACCATGATGCAGATGCACGCCAGAGCTGCAGTTTATGCACCAGGCCCAGCCACTGCAGGGAGGGGGAAGAGGGGGTAGGGGAAAAGGGGGGAGGGGGGGGGGAGGGAGGGCAGCGGAAGGAGGGGGACAGGGAGGGGAAAGAACCTCTGCAACGCCATGTAGCAGACGCACGCCAGCGCTGCATTGTACTGGACTGCACGAGCCACTGGGAGGAGGGGAGAGGGCAAGCAGGGAATATTGAAATCGGTTTTGAGAATTCTCAAAAGCGATTTCAACGCCATGTAGCAGGCGCACGCCAGCGCTGCATTGTACTGCACTGCACGAGCCACTGGGGGGGAAGGGAGAGGGCGAGCAGGGAGAGAAGAGGAAGAGGGGGCAGGGAGCAGGGAGCAGGGGAACGAAGCCCTGCAACACTATAAAGCAGAGAACGGCATGGAGGGGGGAGGAGGGGGGGTCAGGGGAGGGAGCGCAGGGGGGTTAGGGCTGGAGACAGGTAAGGCCATAATGCAGGCTGCAGATGCACAGCAGGGGGGCATTGCAACCCAACAGCCTCTACAGGGGGGGAGAGGGGGAAGGGAAGGGCGGGGAGATGGCTTTTGACGGTTCTCAAAAGTCACTCCAACGGCCACTGCGCTGTGGGGGCAGTGAGGAGAGGAGTTGGGCGGAGAGGGAGTTTGCAGAGAAAAGGGGGAGGGGTTGGAAGGGGAGGGGGCGGAATGGCGTAAGGTTAAAGAGGAATCACCTGAGCGGTCACCTGGGGAGAGGCACTCACAGGCGAGTCAGGTGTGAAGTGCAAGTACTGGAAGAGAACGGTTACCACCAGATACACGATCGCCACCACCAAACCCTGCGCCTCGGGACTGGGGAGTGTGGGGGAAACATGACATGCCATGTGTATGTCAGGGGTATGCGCGGCTGAAAAAAATAAAATGCACAGATGCACCCGTGAGAACTGAATGGTTACCACCAGACCAAACCCGGTCCTGAGTCCGCGGTATGGGTACAGCAGGATGGGACCACCAGACCAGGCGCACACTACTGTATATACGTTGTTTCCACCAACATTGCGCACGCAATGGATGTAGTTAGAAAATATGCGGTAACTACTTTGTCGAGTCGCCCTGATGTTTTGGGATGTACTCAGTCGCTTCCAGGTACACCTCGAACATCTCTAAACACACATGAAATTCCCAGTTGAGAGCATCGCCCGTTAAAATCACATCTGAGCAGTGTTGTTACATCAGCTCCTGTGATTCTCACCGTTCGTTATACTCACATCTTGGTTTCTCCAGCTGGGGAACCTCGCTTGTTTATATCGTATCCGAAAATGTTTCTCCGCAACATATAAGGCACCGCCTTCGGAATCAGCTTCGTCGTTATAACGAATCCCGCGACACTCATTGCAGCGTTGATTGCGATCGACCATCGTACTAACGGATCAAGCTTCAGCACGAGAAACGCGACTATAACGGGAGTCAGGACGCACGCCGCGAAGATCCCCACGCGGACGCGCTTCGACCATCTGTTCAGCGGCGGAGCGACAATGCTCATCTTGAAAATGGGAGGGTTCAAAACCTCTCTTGCGAGTTACTGCTGGGGTACTCATCTGAAGGCTGCTTTCCAGTTTCTAGAAACCGTGCGGGCAGTAGGTGCGAAAGGTTTGGGCATTCGAAACGTAAACGTACGGAAGAGTGCCCAGGTTTGGTCTTGTACAAGTACTGTAGAAATGAATCTGTGTGAAGCGATTTTCCTGGGCGGGGTTTGCTTGTCCGTTGAGATTTACGGTACAGGTGATGCTCACCTCCTGCACGCGAAATTGCCTTGCACATTTTAGATGCCCTGCGAAGTGCTTTTGACTTCCCAACTATTTCTTTTCTGCCATGACTTGTCGCCAGCAGTGGAGAGTAGAACTACGCGGCTGGTTGGTTGGCGAGGCGAGTTCATGATCGTACTGTACCAGCTTCCAAACATACAACCGTTAACAAAATGCCTTCCTTACATATACCATATCTACTCAACAGTGAATCAGTGAGGTGTCTGGTCTCTAACAACCCCAACCAAAGAAACATTATTTGAGACATCACATTCTTGTTTCCTTGTTCCTGACCACCATGTTATAAAGACCTTCTGACAACCTCAGGTTCATTCATGTTACGAATAGTAATTATTGAAGCATCACTGTGCACTCCTTACCGCAGCAATCGAAGCAGCACTACCGAGAATGAAGACGAAAGGACGGAAGTGACGCGAAGGGTCGTACGGATACGAAGGCATCTGGACCGTTGGGCAGACAGCATCAGGCAGCAGCAGTGGCGAGGATTCTGCCCAGGCAGTTTGTAACCGTCTGGAGTCGCACAATTGGGTTTCGCTGCAATTAGGGAATGTACCCCTTAGAGTACATCACTCAATTATTGAGGTCAAGGGCCCACCATCACTACTCAGTCGTGTGCGAACCTTCCTGAGGTGATCCTAGGCACGATCAACTTCTGATCGCAATATGGTATGAGAGCGACTCAGGAATCCTTCGCACCGCCACCACCAAAAACTTCGGCGAACGGAAAGTGGCGTCCGGCACACGCTCACGCGTGAAAATGGCTGGAGGATCTGGTGGTCAGACGAATCTGACGGCTGAAGCGCAGACCAACCCGGCTGCGACAAGCGAAGAAACGACGACGATCGGAACCGCCGCCCTCGCACAGATGCTTCAGCGACTCACCAGCCTGGAGCAACAACTCCAGACATTGCGGAACGGCGACGCGAGAACTTCTTCCCAACCCTCTCAACCAGCCTCGAACGGCCACAATACCGCCCCGCATACCTTCTCCCTCGACACTAATGGCTCAACTCCCAAAACTCCCCGTCCCAGCGAAGAGGCAATTCTCTCTGCGCAATCAAGGTTTTTGAGTATATCAAAAATAAAGACAAGTGTGTGCTTTGACGGCAGAGACTTCTATACGTGGAGCTTCGAACTGGAGCTGCTGCTGCAAAACGCGCAGATTTTCCACTATTTCGACAGGAGCTACTCGGGACCCGCCGAAGACACTGACGACGCCAAGGCAAGGTACTACAACGAGTCCCTAATGGCATACGGAGTTCTTCTGCGAAATATGTCGCCGGCGGAGCAGTTGAGCATTCGCTCATACAAAATATCACCTGCTCCAGCCCTCGACGCTTGGCGCCACCTGAACGGCGTTTACCAACCGAAGGATTCGGTTTCGTCGAGCCGCCTACTCCAGCAGCTACTGGAAACAAGAATGGCACCAGGGGAGAAGGCCAACAGTTACATCAATCGCTGTCGGAGCTTACGCGATCAAATCGCGAAATTGGGAAGCACGATCTCTGAGGAGATCTTTGTGAACATCGTGCTTCAAGGGCGGCCAGAGTGGCGGCCCTGCAAGGCGCTTCTCCGATAGTAGGGGGTCATCTCGGAGGCCGCCCTATGCGCCGCCCTCCTCGTCGAACAACGGGATATGGACCAGCAACGACCAGCACCGCGACGAGACACGGAACGCCTCGACAACACGGAGGAGCGACGGCCGCGACGCCTATACTGCAAGATTTGCATAAATTTCGGGCACCTGGCAGATCGATGCAAATATCGATCTCACCCTCGTCAGACCAATCCGAGCAACCGGTCCGGCCGACAAGACGCACGGAATGACACGCGTCCTGCCCAGGGGCATCAACACCCACCACGCAACCTGAATCCAACGATTCAGCATCAGCAGCAGCACCCAACAACTGCGCCGGTCCGCAACGTCATGGGCAACATGACAATGACGAGCGGATCCCGTCGTCCCCGTGCGCGCTCACCATCACCTGAGCCAGCACGCCACCCAATCGGAGAGTTTTCGAACAACAATCCGTTCAGCACGCGCCACGATTTCACCGACGACGACGACCAGAATTGGAATCTCCCAGTCCCGCTGCTCGAGAGCCCCCCACACATACCTGATACGAGGGCGGCACCGATCGATTGGATCGCGAGCGAACAATTCCTAAAGGTTGACACACCACATATCGTTACTCCGCGACTGGCGCTGCTCGCACGTAACAACAACAGGCGCTACAACACGTGGTACCTGGATAGCTGCTGTGGGCAGAACATGGTGGGTTCCGAGCGTTACATATCCAACGCCGTCTCCACCCCCGCCGTCACCTACGTCACCGTGGCGAACAACACACGCCTACTCGCAAGCGCGCAAGGCATCGTTGTGCTCAAGGCCCGCGGGAGCAGGACGCACATCACACTGAACGACGTGCTGATCGTGCAAAATCTACGCTTCAATCTCCTCTCGGCGGCACAGCTCATGGATTGCGGGGTCGACCTCAGCACTGACCCCGAGACACGTGACATTCTGCTCCACTTCACGATGCCGGACAAGACGCGCAAGCAGATCGGGCGAGCGCATTCTAAAAACAGAATTTACATCCTCGACTTCAGTATTCCCGACTGCAGCGGTGACTCAAAGGAGCTCATCGATCTCGTCCCCCTACGTTTCGAACACATTCACCACCGTGACTAGATGCACCCTGACGGAAGACCGTTGGTGCCTCATCACGCTCACCCGCGCGAAACGGCGCTACAGGACCCCGACCCCGACCCCGACGGCATCTGCATAGATTGCCACACGCCCACGGCATCAACGAGCGTGATTGCCGGCCGTGGCCTCGCCGCCATCGCCGAAGCAGAGCGGGAAGCACCGCCTGATGAGGGGCTGTCTCACCTGGAGCTCGAGACTGCCACGCGCGTCGTTTTCGGAATGGAGGAAACTCCTCTCCCCGGACCTGCATCACAACATCTTTGGGGAATGCTGCGCGGCGTTGGTGTCGGCACCTTCGATGCGCACGGAAACCCGCGACCCCACACACAGGAGAAATTCCTGGAGATCTACGCCCACCGGCGCGACTCTACGAAGAAGCTTATCGTAACACAAGAGGAGGAACTGGCGCGCCGCGAAGCGGAAGAACTTCGCCAACGGAGCCTTGCGGAGTCGCGCGGGACATTCGCCTGGAGCGGATGGGGCGAAGAAGAGAGCGCCTCCAATGAAGGGGGGTGGGGGAGCGCTGGCGGATGGGGCACGAGCGACACTGGCGGCAACACCGGTGGATGGGGAGCCGCAACTGGTGGCAACACTGGTGGATGGGGAGCAGTCACCAGCGGAGACACCGGCGGATGGGGAGCCACATCTGGCGGCGAGACAAGCGGCTGGGGAGCTTTCCGCGAGGAACAAAGGGGGGAAGAAGAAGAAGTTGAGGCTGAACCTCCTGTTGTTCCTCTCGGTCGTCCTCCATGCCGCCCTGCACCCGCACTGCCCCCACCTGACATCCCGCCAGGGAGTGACCCTTGGGACACCATCGACTGGGGAAATGAGCCATCTACTCCGCGTCGCACCGTCTACGGGCCTGCCCCCGAGCCGCGCAAACCAACCTTCTTCCAGGGAACTATCCCTGGAACCAATATTCCCCTCTCCACCATCCTTGACAGGGAGTTTCTTGCGCTAAGGCTGACGACGGCGAACGAAGAAGAAGAAGAAGCAGCGGCGACACCGGCTCAAGCGCCTGATGAGGATCCCGTAGAAGCACACGTGCGCTACATGCGCACCTCTGGATTCCGCGCCGACGACGCCATCTGGCACCAGCGCCTAGGTCACCCCTCGCACGTAACACTGAAGAACTGCATCGAGGCCAGCGTGTTTGCGCCTGGTGCACTCCTGCGCCCTGATGGCACCGAAGTAAGAAGCGTGAGACATCCGCGCAACTGTACCATCTTCCCCGAAGCTGCGCTAAGCCACCAGCCGTTCCCCCTGCTAGAGCCCGAAACTAACCGATACACCAAACCGGAGAAGGTGTATAGTGAATTCCTCAACGTGGGACACTGCGGCATCAACGACAAACTCTATACGCTCACCTTCGTCGACGCCGGAACGTGCTACGTATGGGTCGTAAACGTGGAAGCGCGCAGCAGGGCGTACGAAGTGTTCCGCCTATGGCTGGCGCACGCGCAGCGGCAATCTGAGGAGAAGTTGAAGATCTAGCAGTCTGACGGCGCGGCGAAGTTCAGGAGCAAGGAGCTGCAGGATTACCTCGCGCAGAAGGGAATCGAGAATCACATTTCCCTCCCCTACGCGCACCAACAGCAGAGCGTAGCCGAGCGCACGAATCGCACCCTCATGACGAAGGTGCGGGCGCTGATGAAGCAGTCGAAGCTTCCGCCGACCTACTGGACCTACGCAATGCACCACGCCGTGTGGGTGCACAACCTGCTGTCAACCACCGCCATCACCGGCAACTCATCACCGCATGTGAAGTGGACGGGGACCAAGGGCAACACATCCATGCTCCGCGTGTGGGGATGCATGGTGCAGTACCGCCCATCGACATCGACTATCGGGAAGTTTGCAAGCCGCGCCCGCTGGGGGATTCATCTTGGCATCAGCCACGAGCACAAAGCATGGCTCATTATGGACCTCTTGAACCAGAAAATCAAGAACGCGCGCGATGTCATCTTCTACAAGCGGCTCTTCCTTCGGCAATTCCGCGAAGACGAGCAGGCGAACGCGGACCGCGTCTATGCCAACGACGATCACAGCTACGCCTCACCTGAGGATGAAGCCGCAACAGCAATTATGGATCAGGACCTCAGAGGCGAGTTCACAAGAGGCGATCGCGACGACGACGGCGATCCTCCTGGAGGAGGAGCAGGCGCAACAGGCGGAAGCGGAAGCGGAAGCGGCGGAGGCGCGGCACCACCAGCACTGCCTGAACCTGAAAGCGATGACGACGACGTACAGGAGGTCACCCCACAGCACCGCCACGACAGCACCGT